GACATAGAATATAAGAAATTAAACTGGCCCTCAGAGTGTTCATCATTTATTTGAAAGACAAAATTTGTATTACTGAAAAGGTAACATTACTACGGAGCAAATGATAAAATCCAAATAATTAACACAACTAATGATCAAATCTATTTGATCATTCCCAACTGAATGGTCAGTGGAGAATGGATGGAGAAAGTTGGATTTGATTTGTGCATCATACATGGAGAAGGGATTTGAACTGGTGGAGAACAAGAGGGTAACAAGCTAGAAGGGGTCCATTATTTTCTTCCTAGATTTTTAATTTTTATTTTTTAATTAGAGTTGACATTCAATATTATTTTATATTAGTTTCAAGTGCACAGCATAGTGTTAGACATTTATGTAATTTACAAAGTGATCCCCCCTCCCCGATTAGTCTAGTACCCACCTGGCACCACAGTTATTGCAATATTATTGACTATATTCCCTATACTGTGCTTCACATCCCCATGACTATTTTGTAACTACCTACCAGTTTGTTCTTAATCCCTTCACCTTTTTTACCTAGTTCCCCAACACCCCTCCCACCTGGAAATCATTAGTTCTCTGTATCTATGAGTCTATTTCTGTTTTGTTTATTTTGTTCTTTAGATTCTACCTATTGGTGAGATCATATGGTATTTGTCTTTCTCTGTCTGACTTATGTCACTTAGCATAATATACTCTAGGTCCATCCACGTTGTTGCAAATGGTAATATTTTATTTTTTTATGGCCAAGTAATATTCCATTGTATATATGCACCACTTCTTCTTTATCCAGTTGTCTATTAATGGGCACTTAGGTTGCCTCCATATCTTGGCTATTGTAAATAGTGCTGCAGTAAACATAGGGGTGCATATATGTTTTAAAATTGGTGTTTTTCTTGGGATAAATACCCAAAAGTGGAATTGCTGGGTCATAAGGGAGTTCTATTTTTAATTTTTTGAGGAATCTCCATACTTTTTTTGATAGTGGCTGTACCAATTTGCAATCCCATTGACAGTGCACAAGGTTTCCCTTCTCTCTACATCCTTGCCAATGCTTGTTTTTTGATTTATTGATGATAGCCATTCTGATAGGTGTAGGTGATATCTCATTGTAGTTTTAATTTGTATTTCTCTGATGATTAGTGACATTGAGCATCTTTTCATGTCTGTTGGCCATCTCTGTGTCCCCTTTGAAGAAATGTCTGTCCAGCTTCTCTGCCCAGTTTTTAATTGGACTTGTATTTTGTTTTGTTTGGGAGGGTGAGTTGAATTCTTTATAATTTTGGATATTAACCCCTTATCGGATATATCATTGGTGAGTATCTTCTCCCATTCAGTAGGTTGTCTTTTCATTTTGCTGATGGTTTCCTTTGCTGTGAAAAACCTTTTCGATTGATGTAGTCCTAATTGTTTATTTTTTCTTTTATTTCCTTTGCCTAAGAAGATTTTTCAGAAAACATATGACTAAGAGCATTGTCAGAGAATTTACTGCCTGTGTTTTCTTGTAGGAGTTTTATGGTTTCAGGTCTTATATTTAAGTCTTTAATTCATTCTGAGTTTATTCTTGTATATGGTGTTCATTATTATTCATCTAAGGAGTCTTTATAGACATTTTCTTCCTAAATACCTATCCCTTGTGAAATATTAATGCCACAGATATTACTGTATATTTTTTATGCACTGCATGCTTTATACATAAAAAGAATAAGTTGATCATCCCACCTCATAATACATGGCCTAGACTAATTCAGGATCACCCCTGGAGCTGTGGAAGGGGTCAGCTTTCCTTAAAGCACATGTCCATTTGAGGGAGGGGATGGCTACAGAGCAAAAATGTGAGTTCTGATAGGATGGAGAAAGTAGTAGAAATAAGTGGATTCTGGGTAGGCAAGCAACAGTGGCCACCATTCAAGCTGAGAGATAGAACAGAGAATTTGTTATGTACGGGTAAGTGGTAAAATCAATTCAGATCAGGATTTCTGACTTCAACTGCAATGCTCTATCCACTAGAAATTTTCTGTCCATTTTTAGTTTGCCTTAGAGGTAACTTTAAAAATGGAATCTTGGGCATTAGAGTGGGACAGCCATGTGTCAAATAGTGATTCCATACTTACTGGTTGTGTGAACAAGTCATTTGAGCTCTATGAACTTTCCATTCATCTTTAAAAGAGAGATTATAATTTAATACCAGGCTCTTAGAGAATTAAACAAGCTGAACATATAAAGCAACAAGAATAATGCCTGTATAAATATTAGTTCCTTTCCATTATTATTTTCATTTTTTTCTGAAAAATATTAAGTGAAGGCTTAGGAATCCATGGTCTAAAAATGCATTATTACTAGGATTTGCAAAAATATTAATTTAAAATTCATCTTCTATTCCTTTTCAAAAGTTATTTTTTACAGAATGAATACCGTAGTTAGCATACTTTAAGAAATGTCACATCCACAAACCTCAAGTATAATGACAAGTATAGTGACCTCTACACTGTTAGCTCTGTAAACTGAAGGAAGAGTATGTTTTACATGTTATGTGATATGTGCCTGTTGCAGAAAAGCTGAATGCTAATTGTAAAGAAAATTTATAAATTGCTTTCAGTTATGTCATTATGACATTCTGATCTGTTATTTATGAAAATTAAAAGATATTTATGAATGTTCATCTGTTCTTTATTTTCTAGGACAAATCTATTAGCACTAGTTTACCTGTCCTAGATTTAATAGATGCCATTGCACCAAATGCAGTTCGTCCAGAAATGGTCAAGAGAGAAGACTTCTCTGATGAGGACAAGCTGAACAATGCTAAGTAAGGCTTTATTGTTTATATTAGAATATAGTGGCTCTTTAATTTCTTAAATCATTACAGGTAAGGTTACTATATCTTTAAAATTCATAATTTTAAGTACAACTTGTATGGAGAATATTATTTAAAGACACAGATTTAACCTTTTTGTAAAGTTAAATCTTATCAAAATATTTCATTCTTTTGTTAAATATATTAAGTGAAAACACAGTAGATAACAAATACCTAGATATTTTTCTTGTCTTTTCAAGATATGCCATTTCAGTTGCTCGAAAGATCGGTGCTCGGATATATGCCTTACCTGATGACCTCGTAGAAGTGAAACCAAAGATGGTTATGACGGTGTTTGCATGCTTAATGGGAAAAGGACTGAACAGAATAAAATAAACATTTAATATGATTTTCTGCCACATTAAACACATTGAATGCCTCACAGTTTACAGAATTCTGAAATGCAGTGGCTATAAAACCAGAGATTATTTGTATGCTCAAAATAGTTGTATAATTCATTAATGATTTCAATATATTGTTCACACTAGTTAGAATTTGTTGACCTTTTCAGATAACACAATTAATTTACTAGTAGATACTGATAATGTGTTCATCAAGCTGATAATTCATGATTAAATTATTTTCATTTCCTGAAAGTCTTATTAAAACAAGATTAATTCATTTTTTTCCATAGTTCAAAAAAGATCAATATAAAAATTTTCTGCAGGTCCTGCTGTGAAATGTGTTTTGATTTGTGTGTGTGTTAATTTTGATTATAAATGTATTCAAAGTCATAATCCAGTTTAATCCTTTTGTTTTTTCCCTCCAACTATGTGACGTGGTCTAAAACTTTAACTTTTCTGTAAATTTCTATATTGTCTAAAAATTTTAAGTGACAAGTATTGTTCCATTAACTTCCTATATTTTTTTTTTATATAGGAAAACTAACTCCTAAATAAACCCTAAAGTTCATTCCCTTATATAAGAAGCCCGAGCTTTTTACTTAAAACTTAATTTTAACTGCACTGATACTTTACAAATGCTCGTTTGGTAATACACCTTTAACTATAACAGGCAGCATATATATGTTGGTAGGATGTTATTAGAGAAATATATATGTGTGTATGTATATTTTACACCTAAATTACCCACGTTTTCTTAAATGGTATGTATAATTGGTCAGTCAGCCAACCATTAAGTATTTATTGTACCCCCTACTGTGTGTACTTTTCATTTTGTAGATATCTAGTACATGAAAATTTCTTTTAGAAATATTCATTTTGGATGTGCATATAGTTATATTTTCACTGACTTCTAAATACTTATAGCCAAATATTAGCTAGAGGATCTCAAAACACATTGACACTATAATGTTAGCTTCACATTAAAGATGCTAATTTTGATCTATACTGAAGCCCTAAATAATTAAGAACATGCCTACTGAATATGCTTAGTAGAAAGTAACACAGAACTAATATTCAACATAGAGTATTTTTACATGTTTTATCCACAGCCTCCTACAAGTTGGCAATGTTTGGTTAATACTTGTGTTATCTGGGAATAGCTAAGCCTGAGACCTATTTTTGTCTGAATTTTTAGCAGTAGACCGATTCTTCTGCTAACAGTTGAATTCAGAAATCTATTTCCTCCATTTTCCAGTTACTGCCAGGGAACAATACTGCTGTACAACAAAACTGTTGTCACTTTGTCAGTGTGAATGAGTAGTCTAACTTTCCTGCCATGTATATTTGATTAAATATACATGTTGGTAAGAATGAGACTGCTCATGTGTTTAGAACAGAATTTTTTAACTGAAATCATCAATAGGTAGAACTATGAAATATATTCTTCTACAAGAGATTTCCTTTCCTTTTATATTTTGAAGATTGTTTTCTTACATGAGATTATGTTCTTGCTCTTCTGTGAGATTATTTAAATCATGTTTCCTCTTTTGATTTTTTCCACCATTATATTTACTAAGTTATCGGATTTACGTGAAATTTAGCACTTTAGAGTGGATTTTTTTCTCACAAAGTATATTTAATAAAAATTCTATGTATGTACAAATGTGTCAGTATTTATTTCATTTAAAGAAAAGTATACAACCTTGAAAATTATTATAAGCTTATTTTCCAGAAAAAGAAAGTAAAATAGTAAAATTAACTTCCTAATTAATAATTAATAAAACTAATTCCTAAACTAATTATTAAAACAAAATTTTTTTATTATTTTTTGGGAAGTGAAGGTGGTTCTGTGGTCTTTTAACATGAAGAATTTTAGTAAAGGCCAACTGCATGATTACTACAAATTTAGTTTGTGCTAAAATAATTGGAGTAAATCGATTAATTCGATAACATAGATTTGACTATTATGATCCAGATATGACACCAGACACTAGAGATTCAGCCAAGAAAAATATAGACAGTTTCCTGACCTCATAAATCTTATATCCTAGTAGATAGAGACAGACGATAAACACATGAAAATTTTAGATAGTGATAAATACAGCAGGAGAAATAAAACAAGGTAATGTGGTAGAGATTGACTTGGGAACTGGGGCGAAGATTTTAAGATGGTCAGGGAAGGTCTCTCTAAGGATGTGATATTTGGACTGAGATATGAATGATAAGGAGGAGCTAGGTAATAAGTGTTCAGCAGAGGAAATAAGTAAAAAAACTCTGAGGCAAGAAGAGTCTAGTAGGCATTTTAGGAAAAGAAATAGGCAAATGTGGCCTAAGAATAGTGAGGGAGATGTAGAGAGAATCTATTCTACTTAAAGGACTAGATCTTAACCTGGATTTTCTCTCCAACTGGAGTTATGGTGGCTCTTCTCTTTTGTATCTGTGGTTTGGTGAGTTGTTTTGCGTAATGTGCTGCTTCTGAATCTTGCGTACCATTGCTCATCATAACTTTATCACTGGTCTCCATATTATAGCTGCAAAATAGATAATGTAGGGTATTAAAATAGCCCCACTTTATGCTAGATAAAAATTACCAGAGAGGCAAGAGACAATACTCTGCATCTGAGATGATTCAAAAAGACATCTAAGGAACAGGTTGCACTTGCAACACTGACTTACTTTGAAGGAAGAAGAGCCCTCTAATTAATACTTTGGAATGCCTTTTAGGATTATCTACCAAAGTAGGTTGGAATTCTACTGAACCCAAGAAATTAATCCAGCCCCTGTGGAAGTACTATGGATAATCAATCACCTAAACACAGAAGCTTGAATAGACTTTAAAGTGGTATCTATAATTCTGAGCCATCTGAATTTTTACCCTCACATGCTCTAGAACTTTTCAATGGATCATGGTTAGAGTGGTTCTGCTACTGAGTAAAAATTTTACTGTACTACAAAGAGTGTATAAGCACACACATAAACCCAAATATGTACCACTGTGTTCACTGGTCACAAATTTACAATGAGCAATTTTGACATTCCACCAAATATACAAACTATAATTCACATTACAGAATGGGCAAGATTTATGATCTACTAGAGATAAAAAAAAAAGCTAAAGTGATTCAATAGATAACTATTTTGAGGTAAACAGGAAAATGTTTACAAAGGTAGGCAACGTGTCTAGTAAGTTCTCTTAGAGAATACCTAAAGAAGATGTCAAATATCAAGAAAGGCATATTTGGGAAATGTGGGAATTGGTGTTGTCAGGGACAGGGATGGGACAAATTAACCTGAACAGGACATACTTCCCTCAAATATAAAATACTTTCAAGTAAATGTATGTATTGCTTTAAAAATCCAAAGCTTTGAGGGCACAATTTTGATTTTTATGGTTGGTTGGAGGAAGCAGTAAGAATTATTCAAGAGACATAATTCCCAGGTTCCCGCCCCCCCCCCCACACTCCATATTTTAGAGGTACAAGAATATGCTTTAAATAGAAGCTTGATTTAAAAAATAAATTATTCAACGAAGTAGCACTTACTGTGCTTCAGTTAGGCTTTTGCCTAAATAGCACTCGTCTTAAAAATCAGATTTAGAAATGTTAAGATGAACAAGAAACCACGGGAAGGACTATGATGTAGAGTAGGTCCTAAAAATGTGCTTATCCAGTGGTTACATGTCCTGCATTACATGCGAGTAAATATATGACAACAAGAACGTTATGACAATTTTATGTCACAAACGAGTTGTTAAAAAAAAAAAAGTCTTTAGAAATTAGGGTAGCTAGTGCAACACAAGCACACAAACACGCCTGGAGGCGTGGCGAGGGCCCTCTCTGCTTTAGGCAGAGAACGCAGTAACATGATAGAATTTGACAACTCCACAAGAGGAGTCAAGAAACCCGTTAGGGGCTCAATTAACCATACCGCTGCATATTTACTTCTGTGCAGCGGGAGATGGGGAGGAAATTACCTCAAGCCCGCAATCTGGGTGTGGAGTCAGCGCACTGGAATGCTCGCCCCTCCTCAGCAGCTGGAATCCTTCCAGGCGGCGGCCGGCTCCCTAGAGCAGGGGACCGGGCGCTCGAAGTCCCCGCCTCCCCAACTGGCCCGGCCCACCTTCAAGCCGGTCACCGCAGCAGGTCCCGCCCTGGTGTCGTCGCTCTCGTGGAGCAGCAGATGACGTGAAGATTCGCTAGCATCTCTTCGGGCGGCAGCTCGGCCGCAGTTCCCACGGCCCCGGAGCCCGACGTGCGCAGAATCGCCTCTCGGAGCTCCTCAGCCACCGAGCTGTCGTCTTCCTCCTGGGCCGGGCCGCCCCCTGCGCGGCCCCTGTGGCTCCTGGCACGGCCCCGCGCTCGGCTGCCGCCCTGGCGCGCGCCACTCTGTCGTCCCCGGACGAGCGCGGACCGGCTCGGCCCGGGCGCAGGCGGCTGGGGAGGGGGCGCTGGCCCCGGGGCCGCGCATGCGCCGCCACCAATCTGGGGCTGTCAGTGGAGGGCGAGTGCTGGCTCCCAGGGGAGGCAGCGCCCTTTGGGGCCAACGGGCCGCGCGCTGAGGCAGCCGTGGGGACGACTCATCCCTTTTCCAGCCCTGCTTCGGGGCTGGGGTCGGGGTCGGGGCTGGTGGGGGCGCCGCCCCCGTCTCCTGGCCTGCCCCCTTCATGGGGCGCGATGATGGCGGCCCTGTACCCAAGCAGCTACCTCTCGGGCGCCTCCTCCTCCCTACCTTCTTCCCCATCCTCTTCGTCGCCGAACAAGGTGATGGCGCTAAAGGATGTGCGGGAGGTGAAAGAGGAGAACACCCTGAATGAGAAGCTTTTCTTGCTGGCGTGCGACAAGGGTGAGAGCTAGGCCCCTTTCTCCGCTTCTGGATGCCCCTGCCCTCCACACCCTTTATCCTCTCTCTAACCTCGACTTGTGCCACTCCCTCTTCCTCACGCGCGGAGCGTCTCTTCCCACCACAGCCGCTTCCTTTTCGGGGTTGCACGGCTCCGCCTCTGCACTTTGAGTGCGGAGCTGGCTTGCGGGACCAGTCGGGGTGCCACCCTCTAAACGCGGCACTTGGGGCCATGGCTCTGGCCTCCGTCTCACTCCGATGTTTAGGTAGCGTCCTATGGTTTTAGTCCCACTTACGCTACTGACCACTTGAATGATCTGGTCTCCGTCTTGGGGTTTCAGTTCTTTCTTTTTGGAAGCCCAAAGGGTTTGTCCAGTTTCGGACCTACCAGTAAGAAAATTACATGATCTTGTTTAAGGTTCCTCGTGTTTATGGGCTCTCACCTGTTTTTTCTTATCCCCCTTCTTTAAAATCTTACTTGTATTACTGTATTTAGATTCAGCCACCCAGTGCCTTTGTGTTCAGTGACCGTTGAGTGGGATTAGATATGTCATTATCTCAGATGGAGATAAAGACAGGACTGAAGAAATTCTGCGTTAGTCCCAGACTTTCTCCGAGTTTACAGAACAACTTTAACTTTGTTCGTGCTTTCTATTGGAGAGAAAGGTTTGTCGCTCCTGAGCCCTCTTTGGGAAATAAAAGTAGTGCGAAATGATTACTGGGCAAAATTGTGGAATATGATGTTTTTCTTAAAAATAAAACAACTAGAGATCCATCGCTTTTATGGCCTTAATAAAGTCTCTTCACTTAAGCATGCTTTCTATTGTTGCATATAATTAAAAGACTGGGAAATCGATTGCCCTAAGACTGCTTTTATTTCCTATGTATAAAAAAGTGCTGAAAATGTTCTTTTTCTAAATTTATTCAGCTTACCTTTGTTGACCTTAGAAATAAGTTATTTTTACCAGCAAAAATGGGTTTATTTGGGAACAGCAAGCATTGTAATTCGGGACAGGTAAGCTGTAGCAAAAGGCATAGGCAAGCCCAACAAAGGAGAGGACAGCTATTTTATGGAGAAAAAGAAAGTTGTGAGAGGTTTTGAACAAATGTTCACTGGAGAAAATCAAGAGTTTCAGCATAGGAAGGTTTCAAATTGGCTGAGTTGCTGGAGTGGTTGATATCTTGTAGGAGATACAGTGTACACCTTTTATGTTGGGGCCTGCCATTGGTGGCTCTATCCTGATGATTTTTCTGTTGGAATCTGTAATTGACCAAAAATTGTAATTTGACCTCTCCTGATACTGCATGTGAGCACCCCTTTCAGGTCTCCTGACACCATTTCAAATGAAGTTTACCTTTATTAATTTTCACACCTTAAAATGGCCATGCTCACTTAAGAAAACTCTATTTAGAATCATGCCGACTTCCAGAACATAAACCCAAAGGGCAACTTACATTGTGAAAAGATTAGCTACAAAGGATTTTTTGTTTGTATGTGCGAGTGTTTTCAATAAATGACAGCCTTTTAAAACTCTCTTACCGCTTTTGAAATAGGATTTTATTTACACAAACTTTTGAAAACACATTGACATATGAAGTCCACATGTGTTTGCTGTCAGCCACTTTTATGTTCTTATGTAAAAGTACTAAATTATATTATGAAAGCATTCGTTAGTCTCGGAAATGTAAAGAAAAATAGGATATATATCTATAACCTCACAAAAATCATTGTCTGTGGGTTATGTAAAATATTTAGTATTACCGGAGTGGATTGTGTGAGTTCTTTTCCCTCAAAAATTCTCTAAGAGAGGAGGGGAAAAGATTGTGTTGTACCAGAATGAGTAAATGGCTGCTGTGTCTAGCCCGGCTGACTGAGCTATGGTTATTTTAAAGAAAACAAAGTATGTCAAGAAGTGGAATTTAATATTCCTGTCTAACTGAGGATAAAGGAATGCCATAATGGAATATGATTGGAATGAGTACTTGTATGGTGGGTATATTTAGGATTATTGCATGACATATCTCAAGCAAAAGAGAGTTTTAATATATGACAGTTTTGCAGCCTATCCAGTAGTGCCGCTTGAAATAGCAGTGGTATTGTCTGTCAGTTTCCTATTTTGTAACATTAAGATCCTTGAAGAGATTTGGCTTTTGGGGTGGGTGGAAAGTAAATATGCATATTTTTTTTCTTCCATATAAATTGAAACATTTTTTAATGAGACATTAAATAGATTTTTTCTGTTTCAGGTATGTTAAAATGAGATCTTTGGGTTAGATTTGGAAAAATGACATTACATGGAAAAAATAAATATGAGTTATAGCAGTTTTTTTTCATGTTTGTATTCACTAATATTGTTAAACCTTTTTTTAAGAGTCAAAAGGAAAGTTTATTAGAAAAGGGAAGAAAACGAAGACAAGTGAAAGCAAAGACAAAAAGTCAAGACAAGAAAAAAAAAGCCTTTTTAGTATTATCCAAAACAAATCTAAAAAATGAAAAGTTTCCTGAATAGCTATAACTTCCACTATTACATTGGAGCTTTCATCGAACCAAATGAAAATTATTTATTAAAACAGCTATTTGGGGTAGAGTGCATATGCTTTTAATAGATGATTTCATTTAATCCTCACAACCTCATGAGCCATTTCTGTTATTCCCGCTTTACAAATGAGGAAAATGAGGCTTAGCAAAATTTAAAAATTACTTCGCCCAAGGTTACATTAGTTAGGAAGTAGTAGAACTAGGATCTATCTTGAGCCTGCACTTCAAGCACTATTTTATATTGACCTAGTTTTGGTTGAATGAATGAAAAATCATTTGCATTAGAAAAGACATCCATATTTGGACTTACTAGTTGGTGATTAAACTTGCTCTCTATGAATGTTTTATAACCTTGATTTCTGTGGTTTTACTCTTATTTATCCAATAAAAGTAAAAAAACTTTAACAGCACCGGAGCAGATCTACCCTACTCTAGAACACTTCTTTTTTTCATCCTTTTCATTTAGCAGTCTTACTCTCCACGCACAAAATGTTCAAAATATACGACACTTAGGGAGAATTCCTAAAGCAAAAATTGTAGGGATGAGGTGGTTATGTGTATGTTAGTGGATGGGTGAGCTCTTAAAAGGTGTGTACAGATTAAAGAGTAAAGAAAAAAACTAGGAAAGAACAATTTTATAGTTTTATAGTTTATGTAGCTGACTTTTATGTAAATGAGTTCAATAGGTCTAGATAAGTGCTGATCCAGGTAGTGGCCACTTAATAGTGGCTGTTATTGATTTTGAAAATGGGTCAGAATTATCTCATATTCAACATTGGTTCCTTTCTTTGTATAAAGTTTAGAAGAAAATGTGACTTGAAGGTTCCTGTGCCAGTAATGTATAGTTAATCTGGACTCCTCCCCAAGTAAAATTCTCAGAAAGTATATTCATAGTCTTTTTAGACATCGAATGCAGCAATTCAGAGGTGAGTTTAAATGAAACAAGAGCTTGCTATGTTGTTTTATGAAATATTAAGCAGTAATTCTTACCACCAACGTCTTTTTCTTCTCTCATTGAAAGTTAGTGTGTAATGAGCCACTTTTATTTGTGGAAGCCTATGATACTTCGAACTCGCTGGCTGGAGAAAGGGTTAATATGTTTATTTAGGAAGCACCTAAACTAAACATAGTTCATGTTAATTCACCTGTTTTAAAGTAACCATTGAGTAGATGGTAACTTTTATTATAGATTCACGAGCTAAACCTATGTAAACCCCTTAATTTGCTGATAATCAGTAATTAGTTCTTGTGTAGAAGAAAGAAATGATAAAAGGATTCCGTTCAGGATTCAGTCCCTGCCAAATCCCCATGAAGAGCATTTTCAGGAAATTTGATTTGCAATTAATGAGTCAGGAGGCCCTTCTTGAAATCTCAACATGAGGGCAGGGGACAGATGGAGAGAGCTGAATTTCATCTTTATCCTTGGGCTCATCTAGTCTAGAGTCTGTGTCACTTTGTGACATGATTTAATGCGTTATGTGGTAGGGTGCTTTGATGCCTGAATTCTTACATAAACTTTGCGTATCTGTGGGCTAAGCATACTATTTTAAAGTGGGCAACATTTCTGGGAGAAGTAATATTAAGCTGCTGTTTTAATAACACCTTAATATATTTATTGGACTTTTTTTTTTTTTTAGCTATTTGAGAAGAGGTTTTGAAGTTGGAAGGGGTGAGAGAGGATGGTAGTGGGAAGAAAAAGTTCAGAGTACTTGGTAGTTTATATTGACTACTTCTTGGGTCCTAGGAAGTTTTATGTTGACAAGGGACACTTAATGTAATGAGGTATGTACTGTAAGGAAAGAAAATTTTGCAGAAAAGAGAGATATGGAGCGTACTGTAGACAAAATCTTACAAATATTTTACAAATTGTTATTATGCGTAGCATTTAAGTATTTTGTGCAGGAGAGCTCTTCAAATCACCAGTGCTGCCATGGTGTATCATTCATTGCTATTTTAACAAAAAAATACTTGAATCACTAAAATATTGATGGATGGTTTATAACAGATTAATCATTGAGCAGCTAGCTACTTCACTGTACTGTAATACTGGCATTTCTTTGTAGTGTTTCCACAGGTTTTCTTTATTTCATTTTTAATTTGCTTCTCTTTTCTGTAAGTCATCATCTCAATAGATTTATCAAGTTCTTAATTGTATTAAGACTCTGGAAAGATGCTTTATCAAGGAATAACGGACCACATCCCCATCCTTTAGATGCTCTCCTATGTTCTTGTCAGGAGCAATAAGGGGGAAAAAGTATGTTTGTACCTAATCTGTCTGAAGAGAAGAAACTATGCTCAATTTAACTTCAATGGCCTATTTGTGATTTGGAAAATGAGATATTCTTAGTACTCAGTCTTTTATCTGGGCAATTTAAAAAAATGTAACCCAAACCTCTTTACCCTGTATATTATAGATTTGGGGAATGGTGTTGAAAGATTAAATTTTATTGCATTGAGATCATTGCCATCTAAGAATAATTCCTCTTCCTCCCTGCTGCCAGTGCTATAAATAACTTCTTCATAATTGACTTCATCAAATTTAATGATACCCAAGAAGTTTAAGATCTAGGATTAGTAGTTTAACTATATGTAATGAGCAGCTCAAAAACTGTCACTAAGAGGTGATAAGTAGTGATTTTTAAGAGCCTAACTGAATTAATTATCAGGACTAAAAGAATTCCAGTACCATATCAATATAGTTATGAGATTCAGTGGAATTTCTTTGGATGCCATACTTTGTGACATAAAAAGTGGTGATCAGCACTGTTATTAAAACTTATGTTAATTAAAAAAAATAACTCATGTTTATTTTCTGGTCATATTTGTTGCTCCATCACTAATTCTTTTATATTTTTTAGCTTAGTTTATATTGATCAATAGTGTACTTTTTCAGTTCTGTGAATATATATAATTTAAATCTATGTGAGATTAAATTTAAGTAAATTCTTTATGAAACTATTACTACATATCTGCTATAAAGTTTTATACAACTTGCAACATCACTGAATTAGATCTCAAGTCATATATCCGACTCTAATTATAAAATAAACATTGCTTCTAATTATATTCTAGTAGATTCAAGAATATGCTGTTGATTTTTAATTTATTAACTAATTTACTTAAATAT